GGTCCAATATGCTTGGCAGCAGATTTTTCAGTGGAAACCTTACAGACTAGGAGAGAGTGGCATAACATATTTAAAGTCCTGCAGGAAAGAAATAGTATACTATTCTGGAGAATATTATTCTATTCTATTCTAGAGAATTCAGCAAAAATATTCATCAAACATGAAAGAAAAATAAAGACAAACAAAAGCTGAGGAACATCATCAATACCAGACCCATCCTACAAAAATGTTAAAGGGAGTATTTCAGTTAGAGACAAAAGACATTAATGAGCAACAAATAATTAACTAAAGGTACAAAACATACTGTTAATTGCAAATACACAGAAAATCACAGAATACTGTAGCACTGTAACTGTGGTATATAAACTACTCTTATCCTAACTAGAAAGACTACATAGTGTACCAATCGAAAATAATGACAACTTTTCAAGATTTAGTCAGTAAACGAGATATAAGTAGAAACCACAAAGAATTAAGAAGCAGGGGGATGAAGTTAACGTGTTGAAGTTACAAAGCAAGAAAGTAAATCATATCACCAGAGAAAATCACCTTCATTAGAGGAAGACAGGAGGGAAATGTATATAAAAATGCAACTTCAAACCATCAGAAAACAACAAAATGGCAGATTTCAAGACAAAAACTATAAGTGGAGACAAAGAAGGTCACCATCTAATGATAAAGGGTCATTTCAGCAAAAGGTTATAACAATTTTAAATATATATGCATCCAACACTGGAGGATACAGATTTATAAAGAAAATATGACTAGAAATAAAGAGAGAGATATTCCCAAATAAAATAATGGCTGGAGACTTCAATATCCCACTTTCAACATCGGACAATATTCTAGATAGAAAACTAACAAACAATTATCAGATTTAATTTGTGCTCTAGAACAAATGCATCTAATAGTTATTTACAGAACATTTTATTCTAAGGCTGCAGAATACCCACTCTTCTCCTCAGCACATAGATCATTTTCAAGAATAAACTATATGTTAGGTCACAACCAAGATGCTTAGTTTTGACTAAGATGTTTTACTTAAAACATTTACAAAATTGATATAATATCAAGCATCTTCTCTGACAAAAATGGAATAAAACTAGAAATTAATAACAGGAGGAGTTTTGGAAACTAGACAAAAACATGGAAATTAACCAATATGCTCCTTAATGACCACTGGTCAATGAAGAGATTAAGAAGGAAATGGAAATGTTTCTTGAAACAAAAGATAATGTAAACATAGCATACCAAAACCTATGGGATACACTAAAAGCAGTAATAAGACGAAAGTTTATGGCTACGAGCATCTACATCAAAAAAGAGAAAAAACTTCAAATAACAATCTAATGATGTGTCTTAAAGAACTAGAAAAGCAAGAGCAAACTAAACCCAAAATTAGTAAAAGAAAACCAACGTAAAGATCAGAGTAGAAATAAATGAAATTAAAATTTAAAAATACAAAAGATCAGTGAAACAAAAAGTTTTTTTTTAAACAAAATTGACAAACCTTTAGCCAGACTAAGAAACAAAAAGAGAAAAGATTCAAATAAATACAACCTAAGGAGACATTACAACTGATACTGTAGAAATTCAAAGGACCTTTAGAAGCTACTATGAGCAACTATATGCCAATAAATTGGAAAATCTCAAAGAAATGGACAAATTCCTAGATAGATACAATGTACCAAGATTAAACCAGGAAGAAATCTAAAACCTGAACAGATGAATAACAAGTAACAAGAATGAAGCAATAACAAAAAGTCTTCCAGTAAAAAAAAAAAAAAAAAAAAATCTAGGACCTAATGACTTCACTGCTGAATTGGATCAAACAGTTAAAGAAGAACTAATACCAGTTTTACAAAAACTATTCTGAGAAATGGAGGAGAAGAAAAGGCTTCAAACTCATTCTAAGAGGCCAGTATTAGTTTGATACCAAAACTGTACAAAGACATATCACATGTGTATGGATGTGGGATGTACACATCAATATACATATGATATTGTCATTTAGGCCATACCTCAACACAATAAAAGCGATATATGACAGACCCACAGCTAGTATTGTATTAAATGGAGAAAAACTGACAGCCTTTCCTCTGAGACCTGGAACACAAGAAAGATGCCCATTGTCACTACTGTTATTCAACATAGTACTGGAAGTCCTTGCTAGAGCAATTAGACACGAGAAAGAAATAAAGGGCATCCAAATCAAAAAGGCAGAAGTCAAATTATCCTTGTTTACAGATAAAATGATCTTATATTTGAAGAAAACCTAAAGACTCCACAAGAAAACTATTAGAACTGATGAACAAATTCAGTAAAGTTGCAGAATACAAAATCAACAAACAAAAATTAGTAGCATTTCTATTTGCCAAAATGAACAATGTGAAAATAAAAAAGTTACCCCATTTACAATAGCCACACATAAAATTAAATACCTAAACATTAACCAAAGAAGCAAAATGTCTCTACAATAAGAAACTATAAAAACTGATTAAAGAAATTGAAGAGGATAACAAAATATATAACAAAATTCCATATTCATGGATTGGAAGAACCAATATTATTAGGCACTCTACAGATTCAGTACAATTTCTATGAAGACATCAAGGACATTCTTCACAGAAATTGAGAAAACAATTATAAAAATTATATAGAACCACAAAAGACCCAGAATAGCTAAAGCTGTCTTAAACAAAAAGAACAAAACTAGAGGAATTACATTACCTGACTTCAAATTATACTACAGTGCTATAGTAACCCAAACAACATGGTATTGGCATAAAAACAGGCCTATAGACCAATGGAACAGAATGGAGAACCTGAAAACAAATGCACATACCTACATTATGTGAACTCATTTTGGATAAAGTTACCAAGAACATACACTGGGAAGAAAATAGTCTCTTTAATAAATGGTACTGAGAAAATGGGATATCCATAGGCAAAAAAATGAAATTAGACCCCTGTCTCTCCCAATATACAAAAATCCAATCCAAATGGATTAAAGACTTAAGTCTAAGACCTCAGGCCATGAAACTACTCCAAGAAAACCTTAGGAAATCTCTCCAGGACATTGGTCTGGGCAAAAATTAATTGAGCAATATTCCACAGCACAGACAACCAAAGAAAAAATGAAGAAATGAGATCACATCAAGTTAAAAAGCTTCTGTAAAGCAATGGATACAATCAACAAGGTAAAGATAAAACCTATAGAATGCAAGAAAATATTTGCAAAGTACCCATCTGACAAGGAATTAATAACCAGAATATCTAGAATAGCTCCTAGAATAAGGAGCTCAAACAACTCTATAAAAAAATCTAATAATCTGATTATAAAAATGGCCAAAAGATTTGAATAGACATTTCTCAAAGGAAGATATACATATGGCATACAGGCATATAAAAATGTGCTCCACATTACTGATTATAAGAGAAATGAAAATGAAAACTACAAGACATCATCTCACCCTGCTTAAAATGACTTATATCTAAAAGACAGGTAATAACAAATGCTGATGAGGATGTGGAGAAAAGGGAACCTTTGTACACTATTGGTGGTGATATAAGTTAGTACAACCACTATGGAAAACAGTTTGGAGGTTTCTTAAAAAACTAAAGGTAGAGCTACCATATGATCCAACAATCCCATTGCTGGCTATATATCTAAAACAAAGGAAATCAATACATCGAAGAGATATCTGCCTTTCTATGAGCACTGTCTACAATAGCTAAGATTGGAAGCAACCTAAACTGATTTGTCTGTCAACAGATGAGTGGATATATAAAATGTAGTGCATATACACAATGGAGTACTATACAGCCATAAAAAGGATATCCAGTCATTTGCAACAGCATGGATGGAACTGGAGAGCATTATGTTAAGTGAAGTAAGCCAGGCACAGAAAGACAAAAATCACATGTTCTCCCTTATTTGTGGGATGTAAAAATCAAAGCAAAAATTTGGGCAAAAATTTATTGAGCAATATTCTCATGGACTGAACTCATGGACGTAGAGTGTAGAAGGATGGTTACAACAGGCTGAAAAAAATAGTGGGGGGTGAGGAGGAGCTGCCAATAAGTTAGTGAGTACAAAAAAATGCAAAGAATAAATAAGACATACTATTTGATAGAACAACGGCGTGACTATAGTCAATAATAATTTAAATTTTACATTTTATTTTTTTTTCTTTTTTGAGATGGAGTTTCGCTCTTGTTACCCAGGCTGGAGTACAATGGCGCGATCTCGGCTCATGGCAACCTCTGCCTCCTGGGTTCAGGCAATTCTCCTGCCTCAGCCTCCTGAGTAGCTGGGATTACTGGCACGTGCCACCGTGCCCAGCTAATTTTTTGTATTTTTAGTAGAGACGGGGTTTCACCATGTTGATCAGGATGGTCTCGATCTCTTGACCTCGTAATCCACCTGCCTCAGCCTCCCAAAGTGCTGGGATTACAGGCGTGAGCCATCGCACCCGGCCAAGTTTTACATTTTAAAGTAAAAAGTATAACTCAAAGGATAAATGCTTGAGAAGATAGATACTCCATTCTCCAAGATGTGCTTATTTCACTTTGCATGCCTGTGTCAAAACATCTTATGTATCCCATAAATATATACACCTACGATGTACCCACAAAAATAAAAAATAAAAGGAAAAAATCATAGTAGATAAAGTCATTTTAGGGAACTTTCAGCAAAGGATGTCATCAATTCGTAGAATAGACGTGGTTGAGTTAATACATGTGAGACTAAAAACCGTAACTGAAATATTTATCTATCAAGAATTGCAAGAGGAAAAGTATGGCTATACCCATGTAGTCAAACTTAAGCAAGAATTGGAGACTGGCCTTACAAATAGTATTGTGGAAAACACACACACACACACACACACTGAAGTGCACATGTAGCTTGTGCTTGATAGAGCTTATAAGAGGAAGCACGTCTTGATTATAGACTATTTTCAACTATTGTAGATATATAAACACAGACACACACACAAACACATATAATTTATTGTAATATCCTACTATGATTAATAACACATCATTTAAAATTGTCAATGCCTCCAATTGCAAAATAAAGGGTTTCCTGGCCCCATTCCAGCTTTAATTCTCCTGGGCTGTAAGTGATCTCAGGTTTGTCTCCTGATGTTCTTTATTCTGTCCTGCTCTCAAAAACACTTGAACATGGTACCTCATCATCGTTGCGTTGACAATGAAATCACAAGTCACTGACCATGCCAAGGGTTCTGCCTCCTGATAATGTTGAAAAGAGCAAACTGTTAAAGTGCGAAAGCACACTATGAGTGAGGAATTTTGGATGTATCAGAGCCTAGCTGTTTTTAACAAAAAAATATAGAAAGATGGTCCCTCTCTTTCATGTTGTGCCACTTTCCTATGCATCTTGATTGTGTCCCCATGACAACAGAGCAACATGAAATTAACACACTTGGCATCTTCTTGTAGCCTTTGTCTCTCTATAGCACAGACAGGAGTACATGGCTGTACTGTGAAATTTAGACAAACCCATATGATGCATTATTTCTATCTTTCCTTCTTCCCACCAAGCACTAAAGAATTAGGGAAAATAAAAATTCCCCCAAAACAGATGAAATCCGTTCTCATATTCCTTAGGCAACTCTCAAGATCGTCTCATAAATTGATTCTTTTTGTCCCTTTTCAGCAGTTCCATAAAAGTGCCAAAACATCCTAAATTATAAAATCATACTGGAATTTCTGGTATATCCATAATTCCTGAACAAGACTGTAGACAAAACGTTTTTGTCATCTGTGTAAAACTTATCTCCCCAGCAGAACCATAACCTCTTTGAAAGCAGATTCCGTTTTTATTTTAGCATTCTCAGGTCTTGGAAAATGATCAAGAATATAGTAGCCATTCAATAAATAAGTAATGAATTCAATGTAGAAATATTATAAAATATAATGAGAAAGTGGAAGATTTGGTGATTCACAGTTTTTCTGATAGCATAGACAATTGCTATATGATAGAGCTAATTAAAGAATAAAGACGACTGTACAATCAAATAAATTTTAGTTAGTTATCAACTCCATGACCAAACCAGGCAGATTGCTTGGTTATCAGATGTTTGTGATGCATTTGACTTTTGTGATGATTAAAATCACAAAGTGTTTATTTAACAGCAGTCCAAATAATTAATATTATTTGAACGACCATAGGTACAGAGTGGATTCTAGGTTCTAATGCTTCTAAATCAAACATGTATGATATTTCATGAATCTGAAACATTAACACTTCTATCAGTAAGAATACCATTCTTTGTACTGAAAATTATAATTTTTCAAAGATGACTACCTTGGAATCCAGATGGATTTTGAGGCAAAAAGCCTTTCACTTTTGGTATTTTAAACTGATTTCTTAACTTTTAATTTTGGCATACAATTAAATTACACTTAAATTGCAGAAATAGCACAATGGACATTTAAAAAAATCCTGAATTATTTGAGTATAAATTGCTGACATGATGTTCATCACTACAATTATTTTATACATAGTTTAAGAATAAGGAAATTCTCTATGTTAAAAAAAAAACAACCACATCAGAAAATTAGCATGATTATCAGTAATTTAAGATTACTATAATTTAATCCACAAGTGTTATTCAATTTTATTCACTGTCTCAATAGCTCCATTATTTCTTCTATATCTATTAGTTGTCATTCTTCCATAAGGAAAAGCTTTAAAAGCTTTCTCTTCTCTTTTCCCCCACCTTCCTCTCTTTCTATAATAATCTAATGACCTATCATCTATATTAGCATGTACTCTTGTTTCACTTAATAGGTTATATACATCCTGTTACTATCATGAATTAAGCAAATCATCAAATTGTCTCAGATTTTGGCAAATCCTCAAATTTTCTCCGATTTTGGCCAATAAAAGCACTTTCAAGGTGGCATTTGTGTCCTTTTGACATGCCCCTTATTATATGAGCATTTTCTTTAGGCCCTACACAAATTTCATGACTTATCTTATACTTTATCTGACATAATTCTGGAATCAGTCACTTATCCAAGGATTCTTGGCTCCTTTTAATGGAGAGAGATATTTAGAAACTAAGATATACATAGATTGTGTTCATTGCTATAGTAATCTAGTAGCTCTCAGACCCTCTTAGTGCTAGAAAAAAATATGAATGTATGCTTTCATACACACCACAAATTGACATTTATATTTCTACATCTCTGTGCATGAGTTTATAATAGTATACTAATTTCAGTCCAATAGCAGCACAGTATATTGTATTTATTTCCTCTTTATTTGTAACTTATTTTTTCAACAGCGGCACACCTAGCTTTCTCTTTTTACAATATGCATATATAATCAAGCTTCACTATGTGCAGCCACACTTGCATTGCCACCATTGCCACTCCATTCTCCTCCCACCCTCGCCACCCCCATTTGGTTGTGCTCTGAAGCTCTTTCAGGCTCTGATATTCCATGCCAGGCTGCCAACAATAACTCCTTATGTAAACATCATCCTCTTCCACTGCCCTTCCCCTCACAGATGTCTACCTTGTTCAGATTTAATTAATGGTATTTGGATTAAATTATTATATAAGAAGAAAAAGAAGAAAGAAAGGAAATAGAAAAGAAAGGAAGGAAAGAAGAAATGAATAAATTCATAATTATAGAATCATAGAACTAAGATTTTATGTCCATTTCAAAACATGTATTTAGAAAGACTGCATTGGATGCTTGCTTTATTCTTATTTTTATGAAATTGAAGGTAAAATACTTGTATTTTAAGATCAGAATAAGAAAATTATAAAATATTAAAATTACTAAATTAGGAGACATGCAAATATAAACATAAGTCAACATTAGTAATGTTTAATTTGAAGTTGATCTTGTTTACCAAAATGCTCCATATAAATTACTATAATTACAGAAGATGTCTTATTTTTTCTTCTTCTACAGAAATAATTTGAAAGTAAAGCTTAAGGATATATAAAAAGATTGGGAGAAATGCAATACTTTAATTTTTGCAGTTTGGCATTTCTCGAAAGCCAAACTAAATTTGATCTTTTTGAACAAAAGTGATCATTTTTCATCATGTCCCAACCACAACAGTATACCCAGGAGTCTATCTGCATACTGACAATTATGTTTGATCTTCTTGATCTTCCTTACAAAAACAGTACACAACATTTTAAACCAAACATTTATTGGATTGTCCACTGAAGAAACCTATCCAGAGCTGCTACCATCTTTCAGACAGCTCATTAGGTGTTGTGACTCTTAAGAAAGCACTTCAGGCATGTTTCATGGCTTCTAGGAGTGTATACTCTAGAACAGACAGTAATTGTGATAGAATGTGGAATACGCTATGTGTTACAGGCAACAACTGGAGAAAAGGAAGAGCACCAGTGATTTCAATGATGTGGGAAGTCTTTCAGCAAATGTGGTATTAAAGACTGGTCTAAATTTTGATTTTTTTTAAAGTAATACATGTCATAGAAATAAATATATTTTTCAAATGAGACGAATAAAAGCTGAGAGACTGTAAATTAAAGTACTCACCTGGAGAAGCCGAGGTGGAAGGACTGCTTGAGCTTAGGAGTTTGAGACTCGCCTGGGCAACATAATGAGAGCTCCATCTCTACAAAAATAAATAAGTAAACAAAATACAGGACTATTCAAAATTACTCAAACTGTGTACAATACTGCTTGTTTTTTCTTCGTAAAAAGTTGCTAACATGATTTGATAGAAAAAATATGACGTTTTTCAAAGTATATATATTTATATGGATGCATATATTAAAATGGACTTTACCTAGTCCATTTATATATATGCATAAATGGGCCATGTATAGTCCATTTAAACAAATACACCTGAGATTCCTTATTACATTTTAACTACTTGTTTTCTGTCCAAACTGATAAACTACAGTCTGTTAGTAGTAGGCCATAACACCCAGAGAGTGATCCACTAGTATAGATAGTCTCTCAGCCTGTGGATCCAGAGGGGAGAATGAGGTCTGGATGAAGTATTAATTCCTATAGTATGATTCATGAAAATATACAGGATTAACAACAAGTGTTTGTCCTGTATACAGGGCTGGCTTCATGAATGTATCCATGACTTGTGTAGTCACACAGGGCTCCTGCTCAGAAAAGTTTCATGCCTGGTTTAAAGTACCACTGCTGCCAGAAATTCTAAATAGTTTTTGAACAAAAGACTCTGCATTTTTATTTTAAAGTGGAGGCCACATATTATGTAGCTTATTTTGCCTGTATGTCTGTTAAAAATTGTCATTTTATCGCTACTTCTTTTGAATTTATAACATAATTTTCAACCTCTTTTATTGTGTGTCCTTATGCTACTATCTTTTCTTCCTCTCCCTCCTTTTCTTCCCCTCCCCATCCCTCTTTCTCCTTCATCCTCTCTCTTTATCTCTTTCTCCTGCTAGACTGTTAGATCATAAGCTTCTGGGGACAAGGGTGATTGCTTATAAGAAATGATTGTCTTCTAGTATTGTTTGAAGTCAGGTAGCATGATGCCTCCATATCTGTTCTTTTTGTTTAAGATTGTCTTGGCTATGTGGCTCTTTCTGGTCCATTTGAAGTTTAAGGTGTTCTTTTCCAGTTCTGTGAAGAAAGTCAATAGTAGCTTGATGGGGATAGCACTGAATATATAAATTACTTTGGGCAGTACAGCCATTTTCACAATATAGATTCTTCTTAATCATGAGCACAAAATGGTTTTCCTATTTGTGTCCTCTCTTATTTCCTTGAGCAGTGATTTGTAGCTTTCCTTGAAGAGGTCCCTCACATTCCTTGTTAGTTGTATTTTTAGGTATTTTATTCTCTTTGTAGCAATTGTGAATGGGAGTTCACTCATGATTTGGCTCTCTGTCTGTTATTGGTGTATAGAAATGCTTGTAATTTTTGCACATCGATGTTGTATCCTGAGACTTTGCTGAAGTTGCTTATCAGCTTAAGGAGATATTGGGCTGAGATGACAAGCCTGCAGTAATCAAGACAGCATGGTATGGGTACCAAAACAGAGATATAGACAAATGGAACAGAACAGAGGCCTCAGAAGCAATGCTACACATCTACAACCATCTGATATTTGACAAACCCGACAAAAAGAAGCAATGGGCAAAGGATTCCCTATTTAATAAATGGTGTTGGGAAAACTGGCTAGCCATGTGCAGAAAGCTGAACCTGGATCCCTTCCTTACACCTTATACAAAAATTAACTCCAGATGGATTAAAGATTTAAACGTAAGACCTAGCACCATAAAAACCCTAGAAGAAAACCTAGGCAAAACCATTCAGGACAAAGGCATGGGCAAGGACTTCATGACTAAAACACCAAAAGCAATGGCATCAAAAGCCAAAATAGACAAATGGGATCTAATCAAACTCCACAGCTTCTGCACAGCAAAGGAAACATCATTAGAGTGAACCAGTAGCCAACACAATGGGAAACAAATTTTTGCAATCTACCCATCTGACAAAGGGCTAATATCCAGAATCTACAAAGAACTTTAACAAATTTACAAGAAAAAAAACCAAACAATCCCATCAAAAAGTGGGCAAAGGATATGCACAGACCCTTCTCAAAAGAAGACATTTATGCAGCCAAAAAAACATATTTTAAAAATCTCATCATCACTGGACATTATAGGAATGCAAATCAGAAGCACATTAAGATACCACATCACGCCAGTTAGAATGGCGATCATTAAAAGATGCTGGAGAGGATGTCAAGAAATAGAAATGCTTTTACATTGTTCGTAGGAGTGTAAAGTACTTCAACCATTGTGGAAGATAGTGTGGTGATTCCTCAAGGATCTAGAAATAGAAATACCATTTGACTCAGCAATCCTCTTACTGGACATATGCCCAAAGGATTATAAATCATTCTATTGTAAAGATACATGCAAACATATGTTTATTGTGGCATTGCTCACAATGGTAAAGACTTGGAACCAACCCAAACACCCTTCAATGATAGACTGGATCAAGAAAATGTGGCACATATATACCATGGAATACTATGCAGCCATAAAAAAAGGATGAGTTTATGTCCTTTGCAGGGACATGGATAAAGCCGGAAACCATCATTGTCAGCAAGCTGACACAAGAACAAAAAACCAAACACCACATATTCTCACTCATAGGTGGATGTTGAACAATGAGAACACATGGACACAGGGCGGGGAACATCACACACCAGAGCCTGTTGGTGGGTGATGGACTAGGGGAGGGATTGCAGAGAGTGGGGGATTGGGGAGAGATAGCATTAGGAGAAACACCTAATGTAGATGAAGGGATGATGGATGCAGCAAACCACCATGGCACATGTATACCTATGTAACAAATCTGCACGATCTGCACATGTACCCCTGAACTTAAAGTATAATTAAAAAAAAAGAGAAATGATAGCCTTCAATAAGAATGAAAATAGACGCACTGAAAGAAATAGTAGTGAACACTTCTTATGCAAGGCCAATATATATAACATGACAATTTAGGCAGCATATTTACATATTAGTTTCAGGGAGCTAATTGTACATCTCAAAAAAAATTACTTTCTTTAGATATTCTAAGAACTTTCCTAAAAAGATTAATTTTAGTATTACTAATAAGTTAAAGTGAAACTGGCCTTTTTAAGCAAATTTAATTACTCAAGCAACTTCTCTGATCTTCATAATCTTTTGAACTTCACTGATAACAAAAAATGCTTTTTATGATATGACCAAATCTTAATCTGTCATCTGATTGTGATGATGGTATATTAATATTTTCTTTTTTAATCCCCACAGTTATTTTAAATTGTTACAATGATTTTTTATCTCCTCTCACCCTTTAAAATGTACTCCAGCAATAACTATGCCCAGATTATCAAAGTCTGCAGGGTTTTTTTTTGGGGGGGGGTTGGTGAAGGGGAACTGAGGATGGCATATAGACCAGTTTGAATAGAATGGAGGATTGTTTTAGATGAGCAGGCAAATTTCTCTCTCAGGATAAAGAATATGGATGTATTCAAAGTGTATTCAAAATGTTCATTCTGGACATTGGAGAACTGAAGTTTTTTGAGCAAGGACTCTACACTACTATATACATTGTAGATTTCAGAAGATTTATTTATTGGTTTTGTATAGAATGCACCAAAGACAAGAAAATATTGAGGCAGAAAGACTCATTGATATATTATTGTGGAAACCCTAAATTGAGATGATGAAGAAGGGATTTACCAGAAACTTTGGTAGCAGATTGGAAATTGCAGGACATAAGGATAAATTTATAGAAGAAAAATTACAAAATACTGAAAATTGGTTTCCTGAGACATCATGTTATGATTAGTAAAATAATACAGAATGAAAAGCCTTTGAGGTACTATGCCTTTGACTTTCTGTGTTTGAAAACTTATTTAAGCCACACATTGAGCAGCTTCCACATTATGTTTTATATATTTACAGACTACTGCACACTATTGTGACAATTCACTTTGAAGTCACTCTCAGTGGTGACTGGATTGATGAAAGAAAGTTCTGTAATCATTCTGAGCAGGTCTGGGACATGGTAAAGCAAAGAGGAATCGTGGGGAATAGGTCTGACAAGGTCTTCAAAAGGCCTTTTCTCTCCCTGCTAAAAAGTGTTCATTCTTAGTTACCACCCTCTTGGAAAAAACTGTGACCCTTAGGAGTTTTATTTGGAGCAACATGAATAGTTTTACTTTCAATAGTCACAAGGCAAATGACAGGTTACATTTAATTTTTTATATCTTTATTTATATAGACTTTAGTGATATCCCTGCTTGCTGCATAATTTGATTTATTTTGGGGCATCAAAAAGAATCCATTGAAGTTGCACATGGCAACTGCCTACTTGCATAGCAAAACATGTAGTGCAGAACAGATAATGTTTAGTTAAAAAATCACAGAATACCTTAAAAAAGGAATTGTGGGATTATACTTATAAAAGTTTACTTTATCCAAATGTAAAAATACTGGTCGAAAAATAAACAAGTTAGTGTTTGAGAATATACTGCCTCCGAATTGACATAAAAGGCCAAACAAAGGAGCAATATATTTAAATTTCTTAAAGTTTCCAATGATAGATACAGAAATGTGTAAACATGTGAAAAATAATACAAATTACTGTAGAAAAAACACAGACTTAAGATATCAACTATAACCTTTGTTTTCTTATCTTTCTAATGTTTTCACATCTTTATAAGTTCATCTGGCAGTATATTTATGATTTGTACCCCTTTTTACATAGGGTTATATTTTAGTAAAATATTTTTGAAAGCTAAAAAAGAATAAGGATTATAACAGTAATAAGAACACTTATTAAATATAGCAGTTAATGCATCGATTCTGAATTTCAATCTTGGTATTAAACCTTTCAGCTACATGATCATAGGGAAATTATTTCCTGTTCATGCTATAGTTGCTTCAACTACAAAATGAAAATAATAGTAGTTCCCAGTTCACAGAGTTGTGATGCTGATGTCCTCTTAGATGAGGGTTTAGCATATAGTCAGTGCTATGAACATGTAATAAATGTCTATCTGTTGCTATCGTTTCTGTGAGAATTATATAAGATAATTAATATAAACACCTTAGATGGCACCTGGAA